ATTTCCAGAAAACTGGATTGTCTTACTAGAAAATGCCTTTAAGAGTCACAGTCTTAAAGAAAATCTGTTCAGAAAAAAGTACTACCTTCACTTTTTTAACTCTTTCTCATAAAAAAGTCCCCTTGATCTCTTCTCCATCATAATCTTTGAGTTTGTAAACAGATGGTTGACGAGGTATGCGTTCGGACGCCGTAAATAATTAGTCGGTATAACTCTGTTCATATTTTATTTTTTTTTTTATCAAAGACCCTCTCGCCTTGGAAATTCTTACAAGTTCCCCCTCCTCAAAGTTCATTTCCGTAGCATCTTTCCCCCACTGATGCTAGTGACCCCCCTTTGTATGCTAATTACCCCCTTTGTTCGAGGTGTTATCACATGTAGATGTGTTCAGTTAAACACTGAGATTTTCAACATGCTCCTCTACAAAATGATTTTTTCATATTCTTTTGACAAACTATACTTGACTTTTTTACGGAAAATCATGACAAACTTTAATGTGACTTATTCTTAATTTTACCATAGTAAAGTAAGACTTGAAAATACTATATCGTTGTTTTTTAAATTATATTTCAACATATAAAACAGAACTTTTGTTTGTGTTAACATAACATTGACAGGCTTTTCCTTGATCATTTCAACATGAAATGAGTTTAATTTAATTTTTTAAATGATATTTTAATATAGCATATTGGCGGAGATAATATTTACGGGCCCTTTGAGTAGAATGTTAAAAAGTAAGCTAGTCCCAGACTGTAGGGCCCACTCCTTAGGTTGGCTCCAGTTAGGTTAAATTACTTTAGTTAAAATGAGGACAGGCTAATTAGATTGACAACAAAAGGGTCTGAGAGTCTCACAGTTTTGTCCTCCCAACAGTGTAAAATCAATTTGATGCAGCAGTGAGTCATTGCAGTTCATTATGTGTTTGAATATATCAAAATGTTCTAAGAAATGTTTTAAAGCACCCAGGACTCTCATTTTTGCCAAGACATGACTTAATACACGATGCAAGTTTTAAAAGCTTTTGCCTGGAAGTAGCAGATTAAGTGATTTAATGGTGGAGCAGGATTGTTAAGAAACCCAATTCCTTACAAAAGTACTTTATATTCTACCAAGAAAACGAATTCCTTACAAAGTACTATTCTATCAGTTGTAAAGTGTTGCACACTTCAAAGTGTATCTAAAAGTATCCTAGTAACACAAACAAAAGCAAGGAAGAAAAAAAAAGAAAAAATCAGTAAAGTCATCTAACAAAACATATATTTAAAAAAGTAATGTTAGTCAAGTCAAGTTATCAAAACAGTATTGTTTCATCGAAACAGTGTTAAAATCACAAACTCTCCATTTAGAGTTTGATTCTTTAAGAATCTCAATTCATTACAAATTAATGAATATTTTACCAAGTTATAAAGTTTTGCATCCATTAAAGTGTAACTATAAGTATCTTTGTAGGAGAAAAAACGAAAATCATTTAAGTTATTTCCAGAAAACTGGATTGTTTTACTAAAATCCCAAAGTGCCTTTAAGAGTCACAGTCTTAAAGAAAATCTGTTCGTCTTAGTGGGGGTCCTTAGTTTTGGATGATTTGCTAATTGGGGTGGGACTTATTGCGTTGAATGTCTGTATATTCAAAATATAATGGAAAAAGGAGAGAAAAAAACAAATATCACAGTATGTTGAAAAATATGAAAAAAGTAATGTGTTAAAATAACATGAAAGAAATCAAAAGTAAAGCATCTAAAAACATATATTTAAAAAAAGTAATGTTAGTCAAGTCAAGTTATCAAAAACTGCATTGTTTCATCGAAACAGTGTTAAAAATCATAAACTCTCCATTAGAGTTTGATTCTTGAAGAAAACTCAATTCGTTACAAATGAATGAATATTTTACCAAGTTATGAAGTTTTCCATACATAAACGTGTATCTTACAGTTCCTTTGTGAGAGAATTACGCACAAATCTGTCATATCAAAACATTCTATTGCAGTATTTTATCTGTTTTATGTGCACTGTTGGAGGAGCCTGTGACCTATGTTTTTCATTGACATATCTACACTGTAGCTAATGGGCATATGCCATAAAGCCTTGAAACTTGAAAACTTAAAATGATCAGAAACTGCATTGTCTCACTGAAAACAGCTCTAAAGAAAACCCAATTCCATACAAAGTACTTCACTTTCTACCAGTTGTAAAGTGTTGCTCACTTCAAAAGTGTATCTAAAAAGTATCTTAGTAACAAAAACAAAAGCATTAATGTTAACAACACCTCAAAGGGCGGACTCCTGAGTTCCGTAATGCCCCCCTAACATGACACTTAGATTATTTTCATCATCCAGGGCTCAACCCAAGTAAATGTAGCCTCATGTAACTTCATATAGGGATTCATTAATAGTTGTGTGAAGTAATTAAACATTACAAAATACAATATCAGGGGGTCATTAACATATTTAAAATTATTATTTTCCTCTCAGAGAGACTTTGTTGTAGTTAATAAAGTAATTAAACATTAGTTCACAAGCCATACAACTTAAGAGAACATCCTTAGTTAACACAAATCATATTAAAAAACTAATCTAATTTAGAGAGGACAATAAAAGTTTTAGGTGACTTAGTGAATGAGAATTAACGGCTGATAGGAAAATCAGGAGGTGACAGGCAGGGGGGAGGGGATGGGGTGTTAGGGGGTGTGAGGGGAGACAGTCTCACACATCCAGACTCCATTTTTCATGAAGAGCCTCAGACGGAGGGTCTGAACCCGGCACAGATACTGCACCCGTTTCTTGACTGGCGCTCCCGACGGATGGCGGTAAGTTGTCACAGGCGTCTCGCTGATTAAACCCATATCGATGCGTCTCTTTGCCATTTTCGTTTTTGAAAGTTTAGGTGACTTGGTGAGTGGCTTTTTATCTAGTTTGCACGGATTTATTTTTCATCTAACTCCACCCTCCACCTCTATCTTCTGACATCACAGCAAAAGGAAGGGGGAAGGGGTGAGAGGGGGTAGAGGTGAGAGGAGGACGGGGTGCGAGACAGTCTCACACAACTTCAAAGAGACTACCTTAACACTAATTACAAACACTGATCAAAGGACATACATCAAAGGGCTAATTAGATTGACATCAAAGGCTTATAACACACCAGTACACACACACACCTACATGTTATAACACCTCCCACCTTACATCAAAGGACAGACATCAAAGGGTCTAATTAGATTAGACAACAAAGGATCTACTACAATGGGGAGTTCACACCTACATGTTACAAACACCTCACCCCTCACATCAAAGGATAGACATCAAGGGTAATTAGATTAGACAACAAAGGGGGCAGACATCAAAGGCTAATTAGATTATACAACACAGGATCTACTACAACAGTGGATATCACACCTACATGTCACAAACACCTCACCCCTCACATCAAAGGATAGACAACAAAGGGATCAGACATCAAAGGCTAATTAGATTACACAACAAAGGATCTACTACAATGGGGGAATATCACACCTACATGTGATAACACCTCGAACAAAGGGGCTCATTAACATAATTAGGGGGCGGGACTTAGCATAAGTAGTAGTACTGATAGGGCAGGTGTGACCTGTCACTTTTTATGCATACTAATGTGATTGAAGGGGCATTGGTAATACTACTGAAATATTATGAATTTCCACTCAATACTATGAGGAACATTACAGTCTACCTATTGCACGGCTTGGTTCAATACTTTATTCTTATTAGTACATTTTAACATTTAAAGTATTTTATTTGTGTATAAAAAAAGGAGGCTCTGATTATACTGAATCCGTTAGGATTTTTTCTTGCCGGTCAAATGTCCGGAAAGAATTAATTTTACCGGACATGTTTCAATAATAATGATAAGAATTGTGTAGCAGAGTTTCCGTTAACAGGTAATTACCGGACTATGACCGGATATGCCGATGTTTAAAACTCAGTTAATGGGGCTCATTTTTATATCGCTTCAGTTTATAATCGTAACAGATCGAAAAGTTCAGATTCATTTTTCAATAAATGATTCCACAAACAACAACATAATTATTACATTCAAACAAACTACTTGTAGTAGATAAAGTACATTATTCAAAAGTTTACATTAACTTTGGATAATAACACGGGAGAAACGGACCCTCTCTTTCCCCCTCTCCCTCCCTCTCTCTCCTGACAGCCCGTCAGTTGAGTAGCATGAAGCTGCAGCGTCGGAGACTCTAGTTTCAGGACCGCAGTCCTGGGACCGCAGTCGTTGACCTGAAACAAGAGAATTTAAAGTGGACCTATCATGCTATATTTGAATAATATATTGTAGGACCATACCTATATAAGGCATATTTATACTTTTTTTTTTTCAAAATACCAAACAGATCATGCATTTTAGCCATGCCTCATTTTGCTCAATTTGACAATTTATAGCTCTGTTTTTGCAAGGGCTGATTCAGTGAGAACAGCACCACCTACAGGCCTGGCATATGTACTACAGCGTCTCCAGCGCTTTCGAACGGCAATGGCCGTGTCTGTGTCCTCCTGATTGGTGGAGTTGGCCCAATAGCCGTAGCGCCACCGTCCTGACGTCAGGACAGTGTTCAAATCTGGATCAGTTTTTATCAGATCCGTTGCAGCCCCTTTTTTAGAGATTTGGGTATGGAGGAAAATAGAGAGGGTTGTGTTTTCTGACACTTGGTGAGTTCCCTGGAACACCGGGGACACATATTCATGTATAAAAGACGTACAAAAGTGCATTTTGCATGATAGGTCCCCTTTAAATTATAAGAAATTAATAATATTATGTTTAAAATAGATTTCATCTTGCAATGGGATTGAACCAGCTGTGACGCCAAATTTGGCGAGGGGTGCAAAGTGGTGATCCCTAAACTTTAATTTGATTTCAAATGCATACATATGAATGAACTGACTCTGATGTCCAGATGAATACCTAATCTCTTTATTGCTTTTCACCAGAGTGAAACCTTACATGTGTTACGAGCAGCACCTTGTGGTAGGAGTGGGAATACAATTATAGTTTCACGGTTGCAATGCTTTTGCAGTGACAATATCTGTCTGTATCATTATACACACCTGGCAAAGTTCTTAAAACCCCCTCTGTGGTAGTTTAGACAGAAGTGTCACAGGGTTACATTTGTCAGGTTGACAGACTCAAAATGTAAAACAATACCAGTGTTGATGTTAGCACAGGTAAAATCATCTCAATCAATAAAGGTGCGGTGACATGTTGCCATCTTGTGTTTGTAATACAGGTGCATCTCAATACATTTGAATATCGTGGAAAAGTTCATTTATTTCCTTAATTCAATTCAAAAAGTGAAACTCATATATTATATAGATTCATTACACACAAAGTGAAATATCTCAAGCCTTTAATTGTTTTGATCTTGATGATTACGGCTTACAGCTAATGAAAACCTCAAAATCAGTATCTCAGAAAAGTATAAACTTTTTTGAAGATATTTTTTGGCACAATTGATATTTTCTATATTCTTAAGTTTGCTCGGATGACTCAACCAGAAGAGTTTTGATCCGTAGGAGTGCTCCGACTCTGACTCGCCTCGCTTTTTCTACGGGGAAAAATGAGTGGGACATCCGGAGGAGTGGGCGCCAAAAAAAGAGCGGCTGCCACTTAAAAACTCAACGCCATGAAATGTACTTTCTGCTAACAATGCCATGATGCAATGCAGTGTATTTCAGGCATTGAGACTCAGTGGAGCGATGAGATGATGGTGATTGGTCGACTTCCCCAGGTAACTCTTTTCATGATAACTTCAACAGACTATACTTATACCTTTTTCCTGATTTTAATAATAATAATACATAATACATTTCATTTAAGGGCGCCTTTCATGACAGAACAGCAAAGCAACAGAACATGATCAAATAATTTAAAAGAGGTGAAATGTGCAACGTGCAGGATTTACAAACAACATATTTGACATACTATACTATAATCTTTTTCATGAAATTTTTTAAATATTATACAATTTTTCTTTATACATTTGACGGACCTCACTAGTTTTAGAGGAATTTTTTCGACATAATCTTCAATGTTTTCTCATATTTTTAGACATTTTATTGGCGAAAAATATCCCAGAGAGACCAAGTGCTGCCGAGGTGTCCAAGTCCTTTAGCACAGTTTCAATGACACCAGGCAGAGCTCCTTTAGAAGAGTTACAAATCAACGGGAGCATTTGATTGGAGATTAATGATGGTCATGAACACAAAGAAGAGCTCAACACATTTCTTCTTCTTCGCTTTTTGTGACTTTGTCCTCAAAGACTTTGAGAGCGTCTCCAAGAGAACCCAGTACTTTGATTACAGGGAGAACGTCTCCCCCCCAAACACAGCATTATGGGATGCCTGCGGACCATTTTGAGATGGACACGGGTCAACAGGTAACCCTCTGGGACCTGGAAGAGAAACAGGGAAATACTTTGGTTATAAAACCAACAGTAGATTGTAGACGGGCTTCTTCAACTGATAGAGGAGAGTATTTGTTCTCACTGGATCAATACTATCTGATCTGCTCTCACCTCTCTGTACTGTACAGACAGTGGTGTGAAGGAACTAAGTATATATACTCATGTACTGTACTAAAGTACCATTTTGATGTACTTAGGTTAGTGTACTGTATAGCAGAGGTTCTTCTGAATGCAGTCCCTCATCAGAACCACCTTTATTTCCAGGTACGTTTACACACACAAGGAAGTAGATTTAGGGTCTGGTGGTGCGAACATGAACAACATAAGAAAATAAGTTGCAATAGAAGGTAAAAAATATAAAGATAATAAGAAGAAGTATTTTTAAGAAACTATTTTCCATTAAAAAAATAAATAGACAAGTATTTACACCAAAGTTAAAAGTAAATACACAAAGAACCTTAAAAGCTACAACACTTAGCAGAATGAAAATATGACAATATATGTAAAACTACAGAGAGTTGTATTTTAAAGTGGAGGGCTGTGCAGACGTGTGCAAACATGGCATGACATGAAAGAAGGATGGTTATATAAAGATATTATTAAAGTAGTGTTTGGTCATGTTAGAGGATCAGCTGGATGAAGACCCAGGTGTGTGTTCAGGTGAGAAGAACACTGGAGCCTGGAGTTATGAAACAGAGTTAGTAAAGTTCAACTCCAGCTCAACGAACACAAACTACAATAACAGAACATCCAAAGACCAAAGCTAAATATTCTGATTACTGGGAACCTCTGAGTTAATTGTCAATTTCCAAAGGATTATTAACGAGTTAACATGTGACAGCAGTACCAGCCAATCACAGCAGAGCGTGATACATTGATCACAGCAGATTAACTGATATATAATTACATATTTTTCTTAATTTAAAATGTATTTTCAGGTTTCTTCTCTTTGTGACAACACACCAGAGAGAATTCCTTCAATGTGAGAAATCTAATTGGCAATAAACTGGATCCTAAATCTGATGAAGCGTTTGCAGAGTTATGGTGACACATCTTTGTTCTTAAGAAAAGCTTTAAGTACAATTGATTGTTTTTGTTCATTTCATATTGAGGACAGCCAACAGGAAGTCTCAGCTGCAACCTTCTTTCATATTTTCCAAAATGCCTCCACGCTCCTCTGTACGTCTCAAACTCGCCCCGTGATAAATAAACTGAGAACAAATCAAACCTGAGCTTGCAGATTTGTCTTGAATCCCAGAAAACACTGAGCAATAACTACATTTTATTCTGTAGTGAAACCTCAATAAATAAAGTTCACACGGTACGACCTCTCACCTTTCTGTGTGTCTTCACTTCCTGTCACCTGAGAGGAGAAGGAGAGAGAGAGAGAGAATAATGATGATAATACAACATGGAGAGAAACAGCCAGAATGATGAAGAGAGAGAAACAAGAGTGTTGTTTTCCTCTGAGGTCATGCTCCATGAAAGAGTTTCATATCTTGATGAATGGAGGATATGGTTTCAGTACTCACAGGTCTTCTGGATCTTGGCTCTGATCGTCTAGCTGACATCTCTCAGTGGATGTCTGCTCGCCACCTCAAGCTCAACCTTGAAGAGACTGAACTGCTTTTTCTTCCTGGAAAAGATTGTCCCACTCTTGACCTAACAATCAACATCGGCCCCTCTGTTGTTTCCCCGAATCAGACTGCAAGGAATCTGGGTGTGACCCTAGATAACAAACTGTCCTTCACTGCAAACATCGCTGCAACAACCCGCTGCTGCAGATACACTCTTTACAACATCAGGAGGATACGTCCCCTCCTGACCCGGAAACCATCAGCAAAAACACGTTGGTTTGCTATCCTGGCTCCAAAATGGTGGAATGAGTTTACCATTGACATCAGGACAGCAGAAAGCTTACACATCTTCCGGCACAGACTGAAAACTCATCTCTTTCGAGTCCAGTTCGAGCAATAATTTTCTTTTTTTTAAGCACTTATGTACTAACACAGGACTGGCTTATCTAAAACCTGTTGAGTATCACTTGAAATGTTTTGGCTCTATGAAACCTAATGTACTTATATGATTCTGTTTTCTTTAAGTTTGTATCTTCTTGGTCGAATGCACTTATTGTAAGTCGCTTTGGATAAAAGTGTCAGCTAAATTAAATGTCATGTAATGTAATATGTCTGTTAGAGAGTTGATTACTAAAGTGTGGCTTTGCATTTTCAGCTGGCCTTCTATAGTTTGTGGAAAAATGAAAGAGCCTACAGTCAGTGGGTAACATCACTGATCTGTTGTGATTCCCCAGTGAGAGAAACACCTCCCTGTGTTTAATACAATACTGCTGAACCAGCAGAGACCCCTTACTGACCTGAGAGTCTCCAGCCTGCAGTCTGGACTCTCCAGAAGATCTCTCAGCAGCTCCACTCCTGAACCCTGCATATCGTTGATACTCAGGTCCAGATCTCTCAGATGGATGTTGAACTTCAGAGCTGAGGCCAGAGCAGAACAGCTGATCTCTGACAATCTGCAGTACTCCAGTCTGAATAAAGAAAACATGTAACTTTAGAAAACAACTCGAAATAACTAAATCCATTGATAACCTGGAACTTTAACTTTGATCAGATGTTTAACAACTCCTTTATCTCCCTCACAGCTCATCAGTACTGACAGCATCTCCACTGACTCATGGAGCACAGAGTGAGTCATGTTATATCTCATCTTAGCTCTAAGGTTGCCTTTCTGGTAGGTCAGGTACACAACTGGCAAAAAAGGGGTGGAGCACCAAGATTGGTCCATAACCAAAAGGCGAATAACTTCAATACGCAATCACATACAATAGGCAAACTGTGGTAGGCTATGTGGGAGGCATCGTTTCCCTTATTCTGCACTGTGACTGCAGAGCTGCTAGAAGTCCTTCTCTGGGTGATAGACCCATGAATTTGATGAGAACATCATTTTACTAGATGTTATGTCTGCGTGATTATTCATAATGGATAGAAAGCCATATTTTGGAGGATAGTTAGCTTGTCTGTTTCTCCTGTGATCCTAATTTTCATTTTTTTTAAAGTTTGCATTGCTCAAATTAACATTTGTGTGAAAATTAAAGTATAAATAACAAAAAAACAGACCAAGCCAGGCCAGCTGTTTTCCCCCCATCTGTTTGCTAAGTCAAGCTAACTAGCTGCTCATGGTAGCATAATCACATACAGATGTGATGATATACCAGTTGTAGTTCCAGTAATCCAAAATTCGATTCACAGGTAGCAAATAAGCTTGACTCGGACAAGATACGTCTCAGGATAGTTTGTTTGACTCTTTACTTAAACAAAAAGGTATCAAATACAAACACATATTTTCTCAGGTCAAAAAACTATGTTGCTCTGTGCTTCTTTCTCCTTCTCACACACACACACAATCACCAGCAGCTGCCGTCGGCTATAACGTCTCGTAATCACAAACAGCTGCGGTCGTCTATGCCGCCAATTCCACACGGCTGGTTCAAATAAATGATATAATAGCACTAACAACAAAGGATTATAATATTCAAATATATCAAACGGTACATTTTAACATATGGCTCCTACACCAGGCATTAGTCTACAAACTAAACACATCACATACAAAACATTAAAGGGGACCTATCATGCAAAATGCACTTTTTGATGTCTTTTATACATACATACGTGTCCCCGGTGTGTCAGGGAACTCACGCAGTGTCAGAAAATAAAACCCTCTCTCTTTTCCTCCGTACCTGAATCTCTAAAAATGGGGGTACAACGGAGCTGATCCAGATTTGCGTCCGATATGACGTAATATCGGAAATGTGGACCCACGGCCCTATCAGAAAGTTGCTATCAGAAACAATGCCCGACTGTTTTGGACGTAATATGGTCGGTGTTTACATTAGCATCGCTAACACTCAGAGCTAACCTGTACTGGAGAGCATGTGTGTGAAGAAGCAGGAAATAAAAAGCAACTCACCTTGTGGTATAACCGGCAAGAGAGAAAGCCTTTGAGCTCCATACTGTTTCAGAAATAATCCTTGATAATCCATGATATGGCGTTTCATCATGGCAGTATTTAGTTTAGACAGTAGCTGCCGGGTCCCGCATGAGCTCAGCCCCTCCTTTTTTAAATTGTTATCAATTTTTTATTTGTTTAACGCTTTATTCCCCAATTCAGCACTTTTGAAACAGGAAGTGAAATAGAGGGATATGAGGCATGGCTAGAATGGGTGATCTGTTTGGTATTTTAAGCAAAACACTTCATAGACATGTTTTTTATATATTTGTATATATCTGATACCTATGCTATTGCCTAAAAATAGCATGATAGGTGCACTTTAAATAAAAAAACGGACTACCTTTTCCACTCTTCTGTAAAATCCCATATGTCTGTAAGAGAGTTGATTACTAAAGTGTGGCTTTGCATTTCCAGCTGGCCTTCTATAGTTGATGGAAGAATGAAAGAGCCTGCAGTCAGTGGGTAACATCACTGATCTGTTGTGATTCCCCAGTGAGAGAAACACCTCCCTATGTTTAAAGGGCCCATGTCATGGCCATTTCCACTGATCATAATTACATTGTTGAGGTATACTAAAATAGATTTATACTGTGCAATTTTCCAAACTCACATTGGTTTCGCATACAGCATCTCTGTCAAGTATGTGTATTCAGCAGTATTCACTCTCTCCACTAAACGACTCGTTGGAGCTCTTGCCCCCCCCTCCCTGTGAGCCTAGTTTTGCTCCGATTGGTCAGCTCGGCCACTCTGTTCTGATTAGTCAACCACCAGAGAGGCTCCGCCCATGTCTAACAGTGCTTTTTTCGGCTCGCTCTCAGCGGAACATCAGTCTTATAATGGCGTCGGTACAGCCGTATATTTTATACGCTAACTAACCGAACTGTTGTTATAGAAGAGTGTGACGGCCCCAGGGCCTTTGTCTTACGATGGGGTGGAGCTGAAGAGGCTAATCAGCGCGATCACGGACACCTGGCCGGAGCCGAGGTGCTATTAAGCCCAGCTGCCCGGAGTCACACGACGGCCCCTGTCTCTCTCCAAAGCGGCTGCAGAAGGACGAACTCGGCGATCCTCTCCCCTCGACCACCTATCTCTGCATTTACCACAATAAATGTGCCGTGGTTTTGTAAACTTGTGTATGTCTCCTTGTCTTTCCGTTGTGGCCTACGAGCCGGTCATAACAAAGAGTAAGTTATTTTTACCTGTTATAAACTACTACTGTTTGATGAGAAATCAAATCATGGTTTGCTATATATGAATGATATGTTATAGGAGCAAATAATTCAGGGAAGAAAGGATCCTACTAAGTATTTCCATTAAACTTTATTTTTAGAAATGTACAAAATGAACATAAATATACACGGTATATCATTAATTCCTCTCCGTTGTCAGCATCTTGCCTATAGCAGCCGGGGCTTTTTAGGACGATGCATCAGTGTGGTAGTCCCGTTCCCGTGATGTATTGTCCGGCAGGATCTGGCTGGACGAAATCAAATGCAAATCACAAAATATTAGAGAAACTTAGTTGTTTTAGATTTGTTAGTAGTAGTTGTGGTAGGAGTCTATCTAATGAACACAGTAGCTTGCCAGCTAATATGCTAACCTAGCTTTGTTTACCTTGGTAGCTAACACGATATGAACGCTAGCTCGGAGGAACGGCAACTATAATGTAGAGTAATACAACTACTATGAACAAAAGCTAGTGGTTCATATTAGGCTAGCAATAACGTGTTTATAATTGCAATCTTATACGGGTAGTCTGCTACGTTCGGTCATTCATTGTAACGGTCATGAATACATTGTTTTTGCGCTAGCATGTATAGCTAGCCTCGTTAGCTATACATGCATTATGTACATGTACTATCACAATGTACGGTAAATCACCCGGAGTATACTGTATGACTATTCCGTGTGTGACTGCAGACATTCTCCTGCCATGACAAACATGTAAGGCCATCTGCTGACATTGTAGTTGATATATTTAAACGCTAGCAACGTCGTTATCCCAGTAAGCTGGGTTTGTTTAGTGTAATAAAACCACTATGAACAAAAGCTAGTGATTCATATTAGGCTAGCAAGAACGTGTTTACAATTGCAATCTTATACGGGTAGTCTGCTACATTCATTGTAGCTGGCATAACAAAAAAAATTCCTGAGCAAACTCATGTCTAGCTCCGTTGGTTAGCTCGGTAGCATACACGCCAGCTATAATGTAATTACGTTTCACGACTGACCGTACGGCAAATCACCCGGAGTATACTGTCTATGAGTATTTCGTGTGTGAATGCAGACATTCTCCTGCTATGAGATACATGTACTGTATGCAAGGCCATCTGCTGATATTAAAGTTGATATATGGAAATGCTAGCAACTTAGTTAGCACAGTTAGCACTATGTCAATGGCTTAGCAGTCCGACACAGTTTATACATTTAAACAGTCTTGTTTGATAAATACACAAATAACAATGCAAACTTACAGGTTGTGTACCCGAATCTTCCCCTGCTCCAAACGGTCCAAAC